TCCTCTCCTCTATCCCTCTTCTATCCGCCTCCCACTCTCTCCCTATTTATTTCAAAGCCCCTTCCCCTCCCCCTTTTCTGATGAAGGGTCTCGGCCCGAAACGTCAGCCTCTCTGCTCCTATGATGCTGCTCGGCCTGCTGTGTTCATCCAGCCCTGCACCTTGTTGTCTCAAATCCATGCCTAATCCATTTAGCACATCTTAAACAGTCCTTCTAAGTTCTGAAGCAAAATGAGAGGGTCATTGCCTGGCTAAAGAACAGAAAATAGTTATCATCTTGTAGAAGAGTAAGTATGTACTCCTTAAGAAAGTGAGGTCAGTAAGGTTAGACATTGCCGCTATTATAATGCAAACAGCTGGTAGTAAACTAGCAGTTCATTTCAGGCGGTGTCTGAGTCTATCTTCCAATAAATTTCAAATTCAACCTTATGGCTTATTTTAAATGGGCTGTTACAGTGGTTATGTTGCGACAATCATCAGTTAATCATTTAATAATTGATTAGTGCTTGACTCAACAGCTTTATAATAGTTTAAATAATACCCGAGAACCATAATATTAGACTTTGCTGTAATGATGAATGCAAACACAATTCCAAGATAAGTAACACTGCATATAGTACAGTATAAATGTGGCAGACATGGTAGTCAAAAGAAAGCTGAGAATTGGTTCCATAGAAATGTTGTATTTAAAAAATTTGAATCAGTAACCTGTACAACCTGGTGTTAATATACACTCTCTGTGTTAATAACTTGTGCTCTCTAGCTGCAGATTATATACAGCCCTGAACATAGGCACTTCAACATGGAACCAAATGTCTGTGATGTTTTGTTATTTCAGCAAATAAGTAATTCAGGAAATAAGTAATGCCCTCTCAAAGTTACTCTCCCATTGGCTGGTATATGGTAACGTGTTGGTAGAAAAGAAAAAGAGCTCAGTCTTTTGTTTGTCCGAGTGGTTCCAGAGAAGAGAAATTTCAGTTATGAGGACAGATTGGGGAAGTTGGAACTGTTCTCCTTGGAAGAAGGCTGAGAGGAGATTTGATAGGGGTTTTCAAAATCATAAGTCGCCTGTATCGGGTAATTACAAAGATGCTGTTCCTGCTGACAAAAGTAACAAGAATGAGATGACACAGATTTAAAGTGATGTGCAAAAGAAGCAAGGGTGATGCAAAAAAAACTTTTTCACACAGCTGGTAGTTAAGGCATGAGATGCATTGCTTGGAAATATGGTGGAGGCAGGTTCAAAATAGGCACTGGGTGACTATTTGGATAGAAATAGTATCCAGGCGTATAGGGCAGAGAAAAGCAGGGAGATTAGCCCTAGATAATGATGTCCATTTGAAGAGCCAGTACAGGTATAACAGGCTGAATAGTCTCCTTCAATACCATAACAATTCTGTGATTTTATGATTTAGACAACAGCAGAGAAGACAAACCAATTTAGGAAATAGTTTTCCTTTTACAATCTCCCTGTCTCAACTTTAAAAGATATATTCTACATAACTATTTTACACACTTTTTTTTCTACTAATGGTTTACATGGAGACACTTTCTAATTTTAAATGGTTGTTGTGATAGAAGGGTGTTTATCATTTTCATCTCCTCTCCTCACTAAGGCGAAGCAACTTCTTCCCTTGGATTTTCCATTTTAGCTCCATAGAATAATGTTAAAAAAATCATAATGGGAAATTAGTGATTTTCCAAACAGTAATTCAATTAGAAAATTAAGAAGTTTGTGATGTACAGTGTTCTAATCCTGTGCTCTCAACATGCACTGGATATTTTAGACTTAGACTTAGAATCCCTACAGTGTGGAAACAGGCCCTTCGGCCCAACAAGTCCACATGGACTCTCAGAGCATCCCACCCAGACCCATTCCCCTAAACCCAGCTAGGTCACAGTCTCCACAGCTTTGGTCAGAGTTCCAGAGCATGAGGAATTCATCATTTTGATTCATATAGATCAAAATATAAAGGTTTTATTTTAAAATAGAATATTTCCAGATCATAACGGCAATATTCTTTAACAGCAATGATTTCAGATTACTAATATCACAGTTACATCCAAATGTCACACAAAAGGCCTTGATCAGGGTCAAGATACTATTTTAAATTAATATTTCAGGTGATAATTGGTTTACAATGTATTTAAATTCAATAATTAGCTTCATTGGAATGACAAATTGCACAAATTAACTTTTTCTAAAGTGCTCATGAACAAGTGTAATGCAGAAATCATGTTAGCGTTAATTTCATGATAAAAAGGACAGATTAAAAGCACTTAGTTATGATATCATAACATTAAATTAATGACAAGGAGAACCAACTCGTGACGACATTTTCTATGTTATGGACCTGGATCAAGATTTTAAACAATTATAAAATACTGTACAGAGCTTAAATATTTGGGTGCAATCTTATATTCATTTATCTTAAATTGAGTATAGTTTAGGTTATTAAAAGTCTAACAATAAAAAGTATGAACTTTCCAGCAATCTAATTTTTTCATTGTTTCTCAATAGGCACAAAAATATAGTCACTCCCCTAAAGAAAACATTTTTCTTTTGCATATAAGTTATCTGTGGGATACCGTCACCTAATAGAGCCACACCTACCAACCTGTTGTACTTGGGAAGTGAGCTAACAGGAGTTACTTTAAAGAAAGGAGATATCAAAGTGAATTTCATGAGTTAGCCCTGCTATGTGCAAGGCTGAGATTTTCTTGTCCAATTTCAGATCCATGTTACGTTTTGTCCATTATGATTAAAGAATGCAGGCTGCAAATTAAGATTAAGGTGCCCACTGCATCTGACGCTTTGTGTGAAGCTCATTAATTCATCCAGTGATCTATGAAAGTCTGTAACGTCTGTCAGTGCAGAACTAAAAATGCGCATCACAAAACTGCATGGTCATCATCTTTACATCAGTCTGTAGGGGCATCAGTTCCAAAGTAACGATCTCCAAAATTGCCTGAAATGAGAAAAAAATTATACCCCATCATTTCCAATAGACTATCCTCACACAACAATGAACATTAACTGAAAGATACGCTGAATGCAAATTGCCCGTCATAATTGTGAACATTTTGTTTGCGTGTTCTCACTTCAGTGGTGACTCCAAATATCTAGATAAGGAATGGGTGTGCCATCATAGGCAGGATATAAAAGCAATGGGAAAGGAGCAGTATGTAAGGAAAAGCTTTGAGAAATTGTGTTTTTTCCATGGGAGCCGATAAGGCTTAGAGGGTATCCTGGGAGAATCCTCAAGATCTTGAATGGTTAGGATTTGATAAGTGTAGTGATTATTTTAAAAAAAAACTATAGGTATTTCTCATGTAAAGTGATAGTTGCATTCTTCTGTGACCTCACGCTATGGAAAAATCACCATACCTGTACAGCAGAAAGTTTGCATTATCCAAACAGCGTCCACTATTCATCAATTCATGTTAAAGAAACACATGTTATAGCAGAAATACCTGTAGTTCACAGATTCCCTACAGTGCTGATAGAGGCCATTTGGCCCATCAAGTTTACACTGACACTTCGAAGAGTATCCCACTCAGACTCCACTAATCCCCCACCACCCTATCCCTGAGTTTATCATGATTAATCCTCCTGATCTGCACATCCCTGGACACAACAGGGTAATTTAGCATAGCCAATCCACCTAAATTGCACATCTTTGGACTGTAGGAGGAAACTGGAGTGCCCGGCAGAAACTCATGGGGAGAATGTACAAACTCCACACAGACAGTTACCCAAGGCTAGAATTGAGCTCAGGTCCCTGGCACTGTAAGGCAGCAGTGCTAACCACTGAGCCACCATGCCACTCATGTTGCTGAGATGATAATGAAAAGGTTCAGTTAAGATAATCACCAAAAAGAAGGAAGAATCAACAGGTTAGAAACTCATATCAAAAGGCGGAAATTCTTCAGCAACCTGTTCTTTACACTGCCCCTAAGTTTATGTTTGCTATAAGAAGTTTTTATATATAGTCTTGACCTCCGGAAAGATGCATCATCTATCCCACTAGAGGTTGTGACAACAGTGATCTCTAGCAGAGGCCACTGCATGCGGAGCTCCATGTGTCACCCTCTGGGAGTGGGTGAAGAGCATGCCAGTGCCACTGGTGTTGTTTTGGTGACTTTAGAGGCAGTACAATTCCTCCTTTATACTGGTGTCACTGCATGTCATCCACCATCCAGAAGACGTGATAGGCCAACCCCATTGGAACACAGTAAAAAGCCCCGTCAGTCACCTCCTGCTGGACCAAGATGACGAAGACCTGGCACCAGAAGGCCTGAGAGGGATAGGCGCAACCCCTGACCTCACATCTATCTCCCCCTTTCCCCCACCACTCTTTCAAAGTGCTGTAAGTGCCACTATGAACAAGGCAGGGAGAGGTATCCAGGAGGTAGTACATTAAGTATAGGAATTAGGGCATCATGTTGCTGCTGTACAGATCATCGGTGAGGCCACCTTTAGATCACTGCATTCAATTCTGGTCTCCATGCTCGAGGAAAGAGGTTGTTAAACTTGAAAGAGTTCAGAAAAGATTTACAAGGATGTTGCTGGGATTGGAGGGTTTGAGATATAGGGAGAGACTAATTAGGTTGGGGCTATTTTCCCTGGAGCATAGGAGGCTGAGGGATGACCTTATAGAGGTTTATAAAATCATGAGTGGCATGGATAGGGTGAATAGCCAAGGTCTTTTCCCCCAGGGTAGAGGAGACCAAAGCTAGAGGGAATAGGTTTAAAGTGAGAGGGGAAAGATTTAAAAGGGCAACCTTTTCATGCAGAGAGTTGAGCGTGAATGGAATGAGCTGCTATAGGTGGTGGTGGAGGCTGGTAAAATTACAATATTTAAAAAGCATCTGGATGGGTATATGAATAGGAATGGTTAAGAGGGATATGGGCCAAATGCTGGCAAATGGGACTTGATCAGTTTAGGATATCTGGTTGGCATGGATGAGTTGCATCAAAGGATCTGTTTCCGTGCTGTATAACTCTATAAAACATTTTTACTGGCTAATTAATATTATTTTAATCTATAAGATATAACTTGCGTTACATTAACACATCAGGGGAATTTTAGAAAACACAATTGGAAACAACAAAATACCAAAACAATCCGTCTGAAATCAAAGGGGAATACCTGTTAGCGTGGGCCCAGATATCATGGTACTAATGACAGTGAAATTCTCAGTATTTAATGTTTTACCAGTAACCTCTAGCACCGTCACATACCTGGTTAAAAACAAATCCAGAGGTCCTGTGAGTGATTCAATGGTTTGAAATAAGGTGTATTGGTCAAGTATGCCCAGACTCCGAACAGGTAGAAATCTCTGAACTGATGATAACTTGCTATTTTATGTGATTATCCTCAGTTCAAGAAGTTATAACTTATTGAATAAATTGTAACTGAGCTTTTAATGGCATACTAAGTTCATAATTGCTGAACAGCTTCACTATCCCTGAAAAACAATGTCATTTTTGTAGAACACCAAATATTTCCATATGATCAGGAAGGTAGGTAAGGGCAGAGGGTTAGACGTTGTCTACACGGACTTTAGCAAGGCCTTCAACAAGGTTCCATGTGGTAGGCAGGTTAGTAAGGTTAAATCACATGAGATCCAAGGAGAGCTATCCAATTGGATACAAAATTGGCTTGATGGTAGGAAACAGGCAGTGGTGTTGAAGGGTTGGTTTTTGGATTGGAGGCCTGTGACCAGCTGTGTTCTGCAGGGTCCACTGTTGTTTGTCACTTATAAATACAATTTGGATGAGAATATAGGAAGCATTATTAGTAAGTCTGCAGATGACACAAAAATTGGTGGTATAGTAGACAGTGAAGAAGGTTATCTAAGATTACAACAGGATCTTTATCAGCTGGGTCAATGGACTGAGGAGTGGCAGATGGAGTTTAGTTTAGATAAATGCAAGGTGTTGCATTTTGGTAAGACAAGTAAAGGTAGGACTTGCACAGTTAATGGTAGGGCACTGGCAATTATTGTTGAACAGAGACACCTAGGGATTAATGTATATTGTTCCTTGAAAGTGGTGTCACAAGTAGACAGGGTTGTGAAGAAGGCATTTGGTATACTTGCCTTTATTGGTCAATGCATTTAGTGTAGGAATTGGGATGTTATTTTGCAGCTGTACAGGATGTCGGTGAGGCTACTTTTGGGATATTGTGTTCAGTACTGGTTGCCCTGCTTTTGGAAAATTATTATTAAATTGGAAAGGGTGCAGAAAAGATTTACAAGAATGCTACTGGGACCGGAGTGTTTGAGTTATACAGGTTTATGAAATCATGAGAGGCGTGGATAGGATGAATAGCCAAGGTCTTTTTCCCAGGACAGTGGAATTTGAAACAAGAGGGCATAATTTTAAGGTGAGAGGGGAAAGATATAAAAGGGGCCTGAGGGCAACATTTTCACGCAGAGGGTGTTCGTATATGGAATGACTGCCAGAGGAAGTGGTAGATGCAGGTGCAGTTATAACATTTGAACAACATTTGGACAAGTACATGAATAGGAAAGGCTTAGAGGGATAAGGGCCGAATGCGGGCAAATGGGAACTAGTTTAGTTTCAGAATCCTGGACAAGTTGGACTGAAGGGTCTGTTTCTGTGCTCTACAACGCTATGAAAAATGTTCTAGTTTTAAAAGTAAATTTGGTTTTAAAGCATATGATGTTTCAGTTTCTATAAGCCAGATCTGCATGTCCCAATCATCTATTTTGCTCTCTGTTAAATTTTAAATAAAAGTGAAAAATTCAACACAATATTCTGCCTGTCTGCTACTTGAGATATTTCAAAGTGATTGGTTGTTTCCCCTCCTTGATAACAGCAATGTTATGCCTGGAGATTCCTTTGACTTGGTGCCAGATTGGTCAATGACCAACTATTTAAGTGGCTCATCCAGCTTGGGCTCAAATTGATGCAGCTCCAGCCAGGATGAGAGACAGTCTGCTTAACCAACAGGTAAACAATTAGAAGGTCGACTGTCAGTTTGGGAAAGAGGGATGGACCCCACGATCTGCACTAATTTGTGCAAGGTCGGGGACTGGACCTAAGGGAAATGGATGGATGTTCAAAGCCTTACCTTGCTTCCCACTCAGCATAACCCCTACACTAGCTACCTGTAACTAACACTGTGATCCTCCATCTGAGAGTCCATGGTTGGTGATATAGCAGCAGTCACAGCCTCTGCCAGGATGCTGCTGAGTTCAGAGGCAAGTAGCCCCAGGAGGGCAATCCTGGTCCTGGCCCCTAATTGGAGCAGAAAGCCCTCCAGCAGCTAAGCAGCTGCCTGATTGCTGGGGAATCCAGTTGGCTTTCTTAAGTAGGCTGCAGGCTCCCCCCTGCAATTGCTCCTATTTTCTGAAAGTGGGATGATTCCAGCCCATGTCTTGTGCCTCGAAATATTGAATATACATGGAATATACTTGCCTATGCCAGGGATGATGTGGAACAAATTGTCGACCTCTTTGTCCACAGCAGTAGTGATGATTTTTACTTGTGGAAAGGCATATGCCACAGAGTGCACCCCCATCTCTGCCATCAGCAGGCAGATGAGAAAGATCTTATCCTCTTGTACATCATGATCCTATAGAGGAGTAACAAAAATCAGGTGCACACCACATGATAGTGTAAATCAGTTTAATAAAACCTTGTAGCTTTAAAACTACAATATGCACAATTGGTTAAAATGTACAGTGCTTTTTAAGATTAAATTTAAGTGAATTAAACATTTCTTCCAGTTCCATCCAGTAAAAGTCTATTTGCTCTATGCAGTGTAGTTTTGTTATGGAAGGGCTTTAGGATCTTGAAGCAACCTTGTGATGATGTCACAGAACTGTTCCTCACTGGATATAAAGAGTTGTGGGTGGAGTTAAGGGAAGAAGAGAGAAATACCTTGAGAGTGAGGGAGAAGTATGAAATTTAACTTTGTGAATGTTAGAAACATGTACAGAGAAGCTTTGGAGTTGACTGAATAGCATGAACGTGGTAGAGTTTAAGGAATAGTCTTTCAATAATGCAACTGTAAGATTAGAGCCTGGCATATCTCTGAATGCCATGTATTATAGTATTTAGTCTTAAAATGTAATAAACAGTGTTATAAAAAAGCCCAGGCCTTAAACTAGGTCTTGACTTTGCCTTCCCTTTGACCATTGTGGCTTGAGCCCAAACTCATTGATGTGGGCATAAAATGATACAAAAAGTTTAAATTTGAAATCTCAAAACCTTATTGCTCCAGCTCTGTCCTATCACACAACTGGAATTCAGAGCAGTGCCATGTGACTTTGCAAACCACAAATGCTCAAAAGTTTAAATCTTCAAACAATGATACAAAGGAGGAAATATTTCAATGTGCGGAGCCTGTTACTTTCCACAGAGGCTCTTTTGGTGTTGGCATTTGACTGAGATAACCATCAGCCCAATCATATTTTTCCACAGCCATAGGAATTTAAAAATTATATTCTAGGAGCCAACTCCCAATGTTTAAATGAGGCTAATGGAGTTTGTGTAGATTGGCAATAGACTTGTTAGGTCCAGATAAAACCAGGCCTTCAGGTCCGCTATTGTACTCTGGCATCATATGTAGTAATATTTTGCCAGAAACTAACTCACAGATAGCTAGCTATCAGGATACACAAATTAACACATGAATAACAATGTTACATAAAAGTTATGTATGTCAAAGAGGGATCTCATACAAAGCTTAATCTTACCAGCAACACCCTGATTGCCATCAAAGCTGCAGCCCCTGTGGATACTGTACAGTCCATTAAAATGACATGGTCCTCACTGATGTCCGTTGGCAGTCTCAGATAATGAAGCTGTGAAAAATGGGAGAAAATAATTTCGAGGGCCTGTAGTCATGATTTACATTCAAACAAGATACTGAATTTAATAGCATAGATTTATTCAATACTACATGTCTTGGTAAACTAGAATCTTTATTGTCAAAGCACAAATATGCAGTGTAAAAAAAAAAGTGTTTATACCTCTGGTTCTCCTGTAGCATGGTTAGTCTGGATTAGGATTTTACCAACTGTCACATCCTTACAGACTGCTCGCAAGGCCGGCTCCATCGTCTCCCCTGCCCTCAGAATCGATACGCCTGTTATCTTTAAATGTAAAAACAAGTTACAACAATAAAAGACTTATTCATGAAAACAGAAGACTTATTCACTTCCTATTAAGTTTAAAAACAACATTTCCACCATTTTATTAATAGGCTTATGTATTTAAATAGTTCTGTGCACACAAACCGTAGCAAAGTGTTTCCACCAAAGTTTCATTTATTTTACACAAGGACCCAGGTTTTCACCAGACCAGAGCATCTCTGCCATGACAAAAATGCTGGAAGACATCAGAAATCACAAATCACCTGCCCTAGAATGTAGTACCTTTCATTTTCACAGGGAGAGAACTGGGAGTTGCCTGTAATTTGTGCAGCTCCTGGAAACGGTTGGCCATTTCAATGATAAGCTGCCTCCAACGCAATTGAATTTTTGAGCCCCTGGAGTATGAAACCCAGAGTGTGGAAATTAGATCAGATAAGAACAGGGCTGTTCAGATTTCTTTGGGATAGTCAGAGTAGCCTACTATAGGCAAAAGGTAGCTCTGAATCTCGTCCTGGGATACTTTTAGAGGTGACAAATTACCCTTCGGAAGTTTAAGGCACCCTTTGGAGGAGAGGGAACGTATCCTTTGAAAAATAGGCCTGCTTGTGCAGTAAGATATCTATAAGCTCTGTTTGCTAGACTCGTTCATGAAATGCAAGCATCACTGGCTAGGACAATAATTATAGTCCATCCCTAATTACCCTGAAGAAGGTGGTGTGGTACTGCCTTCTTGAACTCCTGATGTCCTTGGAGTGTAGGTACATCCAGAATGCTATTAGAAAGGGAGTTTCACAGATTTGATACAGTGAAGAAATGTTTTATATAGTTCCAGGTGAGGATGATGTGGGTCTTCGAGGTAGTGGTCATTTATTTGCTGTGCTGTCCTTGTCCTTCCAGCTGGAAGAGGTCAATGGTTTGAAAGGTGTTGTCAGAGGAGCTTTGGTGAGTTACTGCAGTGAATCTTGTAGATGCTACACACTGCTGTCACTTTGTGTTGTGATGAAAGGAGTGAATGCTGAAGGTTGTGAATGTTGTGCCAACCAAACAGACTTCTTTGTCGTGGATGGTGTCAAGTTTCTTAAGCATTGTTGAAGCTGCACCCACCTAGTATTCCTTCACATTCCTGACTCATGCCTTGTAGATTGTGCATTGGCACTGGGGAGACAGAAGGTGAGTTATTTGCCACAGAACATTTAGGTTCTGACCAGTTCTTGTGGCCATAGGATTTATATGGTTGGTGCAGTTCAGGTTCTGGTCAATGGTAATCCCCAGGATGTTGATAGTGGGGGAATACAGCAATGGTAATGCCATTGACTATCAAGGAAAGATGGTTACATTCTTTCTTGATTGAAATGGCCGTTACCTGGTATTTTTGTGACATGAATGTTACATACCGTGTATCAGTCCAAGCCTGGATATTATCTAGGTATTGTTGTACATAAGAACAGATTTATTCCATATCTGAGGAATGGCAAATAACAGTGAATATTATGCAATCATTAGCAAACATCTCACTTCTGACATTATGATTGAGGGAAGGATATTGCTGAACGTCCTTGAACGTTTGGATCAAGGACACTAAACTGGAGGAACTCCTGCAGTCATGCCCAGGGCCTGAGATGATTGACCTCCAATAACTTCAAAGTTCTTCCTTTCTGTTCGGTCTGACTCCAACCAGCAGACTGTTTCCCCGTGATCCTCATGGACTCTAGTTTTGTTAGTTCTCCATGATGCTACACTTGATCAACTGTGGCCTGGATGTCAAGGGCAGCCATTGCCACCTCATTTCCAGCATTCAGCCCTTTTCTCCAGCTCTTTGAACCAAAGTTGTAATGTGCTCATGAACTGAGTGGCCCTATTGGATCCCAAAGTAAGCATCAGCAAGCAGGTTATCGCTGAGCAAATGCTGCTTGATAGCACCGCAGACGATCCCGGACACACCTGGAACTGTCCCTTTTTTCATTAATGAAATCATCAACAGATACACAACTTTGTTTTCTGCCTCCTGAGCCATTCCTGTTGTGGATAGTAGTGAGCTGTCATGGAGACAGAAGGGCAAAGGTAAGTTTGGGGAGGATATGAGTTGGCACAGAGGCTATAAAGACCATGGTTGATTGTTGGAATAGAAGAGATGAGGAGGCATGGGAGATGGGTAGATGGGCATAAGATGGCACAGCTGTGGGACCATGATTGGTGAGCACAGGAGTATACATTGGCATGGATGTGGGGCACAGGTGGGTGCAGGGCATTAGATGGCATGGCTTGGCATGAATGCTGCATGGAGCACGAGGGGTTGAGAGCAGGAGGGATGTTTAACGTTTTTACTATCATTTAAGCTTTGAACAGTGCTGGTGTCTCCAGGCAGGTATTCCACACAGCCCACCTCGGGAACTGTCTGTCTGTTCTATTCTTCCCAGGTTCCCTGGCCTGGAAATGGGAAGTGTGAGCATTGACACTCATGGAACTGGGATTTTTCCCACCTCTGACCATTCAATCTGTGGACAAGGGCCAAGATCTCACACCAATCAATAAACAACTACTTACAAATTCACAAACAGGAGTTGCTGGACAAACTCAGCAGATCTGGCACATCTGTGGAGAGAAAACAGAGTCAACATTTTGAGTCCAGGGACCCTTCTTCAAAACACTGAACTTGAAACATTAACTCTGTTTTCTCTCCACAGATGCTGCCAGACCTGCTGAGTTTCTCTAGTAATTTGTTATGTTTCAGATTTCCAGCAGAGTTTTTGGTTTTTGTTACTTGCAAAATCATATCTGTCTCTTTGAATCAAGATAATTAAAACACAGAAAATGTTTATTTTGGATCCACATGAGGTTTCTAACCAGAAAACATGTCAATTATTATTAAGATAGGTTAAAAAATGGTTTAAGATTGGCCCAGTTTCCAGCTGATTGTTACCATGGTGCCCATGGAAAATTGGCAGTGTGTGAGAAAAGCCAGTATACACAAAACAGGTGGTAGTATCATACTTACTCTTGTTCCAGCAAACCTTCTTCCTTCATAGTTCTCTCCCTCCAGTGTTTGGACAACACATGTCTGCCATAAAACACAAACAAATGTTATTATCAGGAAGAGTGTATACACGGTTGTACCACTGCTCTCATATCACTGACACAATTATTAAAAGATAGTGAAATCTATACACATCTCTTGAAATTTTGAACGTCCCACTCCCCCCCGACCCCGCCAATAAAAAGATTAAGCTCATTATTTAAGCAGATGAACTGTTGGTTGCCCTGTTCAGCTGGGTGCCAAGTAACCTTTTACTCTTGCTGCCTTGTCAGTTCATATTATCAGCAGCTTTTGAAAGGCAAATTATTTTGAGCTGAAGAATACAGGTACTTCTCCAGGGCAATTAGGAATGGGCAATAAAAAAATGGTTTAGCCAGCAATACACACATCTTATGAAGGAACAAAAGTGTCTAATTAAATGCCCTGTTACTACAAAATCGGGTTCCATGTTTACATAAAATTTTGCCAACAATTACCAAGTTATTACTCAATGATCTCTCCAAAGACACATTTGTTGATCTTATAGTTAATAAAAAAAATTACTTCCAAATAAAAGATGACTTACACAAAAAAAACTCAAAAGGTTGTGACTAAGTTATGACATTAATTCTTTCCTTTTGTACTCCATGTTCCTCAAAACTGACAAAAAAAAGTGTTTAAGAATATTCCAACAGTTTCTTTCTAAAATCAAACTAGTGCCTTTAACGTCAATGAAACGTCCCAAAACAATCCACAGGAGCATTATTGAACAACTTGGGATAAGTTTTCATTCATGTGAACAAGTCAAGAGGTAGGTTTTAAAAGTGCCTCCAAAGGAGGATGAAATTTAGGAAGGCCACACAAATCTATTGGATAGGATTCCACAGCTTGAGCCTATGCAACAGAAGGCACAGACACCAATTCTGAAGCAATTATCATTGGGAACACACAAGAGGCTACAATTAGAGCAGTGCAGGCATCTCAGACGGTTTTAGGAGCAGAGATGATGACAGAACTAGGGAGTTTTGAGACCACGGAGGGATTTGAAAGGAAGGATGAGAATTTTAAAATGTGGCATCAAGAGAACAGGAAGGTCAATGGATTCTGAAGGGTTAGGTAAAGGATTAGTTATAGAAAGTGAAAGTATTTAAAGACAACCGAAAATGGAGCAAGAACACAATGTTTTAACTTGCAACAGTCAGTGGAAAACAAGACCCAAAGACCTTTTGGCTTTGTTTCAGAGTTTGCAGCCATATCATTATTCTAAATGGGTTAATTTTAAAGTTTCCATCCTCATTTTGAAACTGTCTTATAGCCTCAAATACCACGCTACGTTGTCACCGATTTTCTAATGTTACCATGTACTTTTGCCACTCTTCTACCACCAACAGCCTGACTATGAGAATTCCCTTCCAGTTTGCTCCATCCATGCCATTCAAAACCTATTTGCTATTGGTTCCCTGCACATATTGTCATTTCCCCTCATGTTCTATGGTGTTATTCTTTAATGTGATGCACTGGGAAACATCATGTGTCATTGAAATTAATGATGTTACTATTGAGAAGACAGTTTTCTTAACTCTAATGAGAATTAGATTTGTGAGAAGGGATAGCATTAAAGATTAGAAGAGAAAGCAGTACGAAGTGATTCAAATCAGCTCCAGTGAAGAGTAAAAACAGTCAGTGGAATAAATGATCTAATGCTATGCAGTGATATTCTCAGAAACGTACAGGTTACTTATGTACATACCCGAAAAGGCAAGAATGAAAGTGTATACTCTATCAGTAGTCTCATCAACCGCTTTGAATAGAATATAAACTCGTCTCGACTTGTGTCTTTATTTCTGAAAAGAAAGAAACATAATCATCTGTGGTACTACAATTGACAACGCCTGTACAGGCATACTCCCTCAAAACTAGAAGCCATGGATTTTTTTTTAAACTGGATTTTGCCAACTTCGGGTTTAGGCACTATGGGACAGGATAGGGGAGAGAGGTAGGTGAGGGGATTCAGACCAATCCAGATGTATAGGATGGGTTGAAGGGTTAAACTTGTGGATGATATTTGACAGCTGCATGACCTTGAATGAGTCCTGTGAACATTCCTGTATGTGCCGTAGCCAGTGCAATCAACATGTTTTTCTGCAGTTGTTTTTCTGTGCCTTACTGTTTGTTACTATATAAGAGAGAGTTTCATTCCAAGTCACTGCACTTCACCTCAGACCAGGATCGCAAATGGTACCAGGAACAACCTAAGCCTCCAGACCAACCATCGATCAAGGGGTCCCTGACGGGCAGAAGGGGCTTATTGTTCTTTTCCTCACTGTTTCATTTTTTAAATTTCCTTAATAAATGTATGCTTTCTTTTCTCATCTTTAATTATTACTCAATAAATGCTCATATTTAAGCAATTGCTGTTGTTAAGCCTTCCCTTAACTACATTTAACAAAATCCAAAAAGAACCATTTGGATACACTCTGTGAGCCAAGACATTTTAGCCAACGAGGATGGCATTCAAGAACATGTTTAAGAGAAGGAAAAAGCAACCTGATGCTCCGGAGACCTTCTGTATTCCAGGGTTGAATGCAGCAGACTCTGGATTTGGGTCTGTAGCTAACATGTTAATACAATTTGGACCCCCGAAAGAATGGTGAACGGTTATAACCGGAAAACAAGAGAACTGGAGGCCAGGTTTCTGCACTGTACAAGTGCACTGAACCTTGTAGAAGTGTTAGCTTTTTGTAGTCTGGTGTGAATGCACCTTTCTTTGTTGGTTGCTAAGTGTTATCTTGTACAATTTGTGTCTTTTTGTTCCCTGGAGCTTGAGATCTGGAGATAATTTGAAGTTTTAGTTTGCATTTTGGGAATGTCCGGTGATTTGAAAGTGTGCCGTGTGCCTGTATTAGTGTGG